ACGATTTGGATTACACGTATTTTTTTTCAAAAAGTAATCAAGATTGACAAACGTTTTATTAAAATCCTGAAGTAGACTGTCGACTTTGATTCAAAAGCGGAGTCCCCTATCTTTTTTATTTGGATAAAGTATCCGGAGTTAAAACTACACATGTTCAACTTGAAAATTTTATACTCCTTAGCAACTGTTTACGGCAAGACTCTCAAGGTTGATAGTCCTACGCTTGCTGTCGTCAGACCCTCTGTGGTTTGTGTGTTCGCTGATAGAGATATCACCCAACCAACTTCGGATGAGGTATGGATTAGATCCACTCACAACGGGTATTGGTAAAATGTTGAAATAGAACCACACTCTCCTTATTGCTCTCATTATAGTATGTTTAGCCACAGTTCTACTATTTGCTATAGTTTGCATTTTCATCTAAGGCTGGGTATTACTAAAGATCAGCAACCTGTTCAAAAAATTTTTCATACTGAATTAGAAGTGGACGTCTTCCACCTACCATCCCTGCTAAGAAGGTGCAACCCGACCCTCTTTCAAACACCACATATACCTCTGCTCATCTGACTGACGTTGTTCCTAATGAGAAAATTTTTGAGGAGCCTCCTATTCAAACCTTTGTCGTCTCAGATAAAGAACATCATACCCAAGTCGTTCTACCCCTGGATGCTCCTGCTTTTGAACACTCTATTCCAGTTACTGGATTGGAGCATAGTACTCTGAATCCTCATTAAACATCTCCCCATACTACTAGTACAAATCCAAACGTGCCATACCACTCATTGTTGTTGAAGAAAGCTCATTTACATGCCAAGACACACGAGAGTGCTCCTTTGATCCAATAAAAGATCAGCTGGTACAACAAGTATATGTTTCCAATGTTCAACAACCTACACATGTCCGGCATACTTTAGAACAATCCACTGATCAGATGAGTGAATCTTCAGATAAGAAATGGTTGGTCTATTCCAGGAGGAAAAAGAAGAATGGAGGACGACTCGAGCTCAAGAACTTATTAGGCGATACATTGGTTACTACTGGCAATGGCACTCATCTTATCAATTTATTAGGTGTCTCCTTCCCTGGAACTAGAGGCAGTGGCAGGGCAAATATGAGTCGCTCTCTAGCTACCTGATACTACATGTTTTGACACTTTTGGTTTTTAGGCTCTCATGTATTTTTCTGTATTTTCATCTATCTGTATCTTTCTTCCTTTAAATATATTAGCCCTTGGGCTTTTTCAAAAAAATAATAATAATAAAGTATATATACATATATATATATATATATATATATTTAAAAAAAAGTTCAATGGCTAATATATTAAAGAAGAAAAGGTACATATAGGTTGTACGAGATGACCTAAAAGAATGACGAACTCACACAATACAACACACAAAAATCAAGAGAATCAAAGATACATAAAGATAAAAAACCAAAAATCCACCAACAGACGCAAAGGTGCTAGATAAGTCTCACTTTAGTTCTTCCTCTGCCTCAAGTTCTCGAAAGAGAACCAGGTAACAAATTAGTAAAGTGTGTACCATTAGGGCTGTCAAAAAAGCTCGTAGTTAGCGAACAGCTCATGTTTAGCTCGTTAAGTAGCTCGTGTTCAGCTCGTTCGTTAAGTAAACGAGCCGAACATGAAGAAGTTTTTAAAGCTCGAATTATAAACGAGCCGAACACGAACAACTCTTTGTTTGCTCGTGGTCGGCTCGTTTTAGCTCAAAATTTAAAAAATATATTCAATTATTTAGATAATAATATATTATATATACTTATATCTAAGTTTAAATCATAACATCTCGTGTGGTAATGTGGTTAGTGCCTTTTTTTGTATATATTTGGTCCAAGTTTGAATCTCACACTTTACATCAATTTTTTTTAATTTAATTTTTCCGAGCTAATTTCGAGTCGAACACAAACACAAAACAAACACAAATTTTTAAATCGAGCCGAACACGAACACAATGTTCACGAGTCAATTTCGAGCACGAGTCGATTTCGAACACGAACTATTTCAAACGAGGTGAACACGAGCCAAGCCTGACCTCGCTCAAGCTCGGCTCGTTTACAGCCCTATGTACCATTACCCGAAGTAAACAAAGTATCATCCAACAGTTCTGAGCTCAAGTACGTCTCCATTCTTCTTCTTCCTCCTGGATGTGTAGACCTATCATTCCTCATCCGATGATTGACTCATATGATGAATGGATTGGTCCAAAAGTGGTCGGACAGGTGTAGGACGTTGCAAATCATGATCCCCTTGAGTCTGAATAGCATTAACATCTTTCTGAACCTGATGAGGCGGTAGTGAAGCAACAGAGGTATTTTCACCTGTATCATTGGTAGGTTCTAGGGCAGCGGAATCTGAAGAATCTCTCGCCTCCACGATAAGAGGTTCCAAATACGGGGAAGCTACAATAATGTGTGGAGACTGAATGGTTGATATATTGTCTGTGTGATAGTGACGTCTTTAACTGTATCTTTTTGATGATCGATAGTGTCAATAACATGAAGCTGATCAGGAGTTGAAATCACTGCCTCTAGAAGAACACTTTGCTTTTTTGGTCTGGGGTGGGGATGTAGATGATGGCATTGAGAACTGGAGTGGCCGAACATACAACAATTCCAACAATACGAAGGAAAATGCTCAATCTCTACATTCTGCCAATATCCATGATGTTGTGTGTCCAACCAAATTTCCTCATAAGCAAAAGAAGTAATGTCTCTTTCAACAAGTACTCTGACTTCAGATGGACGGGAAAGATTAAAACAAGAAATGTCCGTCTTGAGTAACTTATCATAAGCTGAGGCAATAGAATACAACACTTTTTGAGAAAAATAATGAAATTTCAGACCAGGAAGGCAAATCCAAACCAGAATGATTTGTTGTTCCGTCTGTGGGTCAAAATTCACAGACCATTTCAGAATCTTCATTATTCTGTCATTAATCTAAATTATCCTTCTTGCAAAAAAGCGTGTGTAATCTTCTTCATTATCAATTTGAATAAGAATGTGTCTTATATATATATATATATGTTGCCTAATAGCTAGATTATCCAAACTATCTCTAAGGATAATCACGTAGGGTTGGGTGACAAGCAGGACTCGAGGGAAGGGTTAAACCGGCCATTTGGTTCTGCTTGAACTATTTCGATCCACCAGGAGGTTGGAACACCCAGTCGTTCGCTCCCAATGGGCAGGACGACCCTTATAGCGTTCATTTTCCTTATATTGGCGCTTCTTCCCCTTTCTTTTCTGGTTGTCGCCCAAGGGAGGGTCTTACCTTCCTATTTTATCAATTAGTTAGTATATGTTTATTTTGTTTGCTTAGGGTTATGTGATGTTGTATTGTTGTTTTCAAATTCTCCTTCAAGTTTCCTTTTCCCTTGCTAGGGCTACATCTGATGACGCGTAGTGCTTGGATTGTATTTTGCTTCGAGGTAGTAATATATCTTCCCCTATCATCTTCCTTAACCCTTCTCCTCTACTCATCATAGTCGTCGGCCTCCCTACCTCATCCCAACTACACTGCTGCCCCCCCACTCCCCCTCCTCGTACCGCAACTTGCCGTCCAGACCTCCAATCCGCCTCCCAACACCCTGTTCCTCTCCAACCTGTTGTTGGCCTTGTTGTCCAACACTCCCAACCGCCCACATACATCCATGCAACCTTTCAAAGCAATTCTCCTTGTGTCTGGCTCATCCCAGCAGCACCCAACACCCTTCACCACCCTTTCCTTGCAGTTTTTCCTTCACCACCCTTTCCTGCAGCTTTCCCTGCCACCCCACTCTCAAACCCCTAAACCGGCCACCAACCACCCTTCCAACATACCCGACAGCCCTCAAACCTTACCTTTTTCCCTTGCCACTTTGTCGACCGCCCTTAGATCTTATCTTCCGGTCCTAGCCGGAGGTTGATTTGTTGTTGTATTTTCCCTTTTCCGATTGTGTCATGTTGTCGCCCTAATCCAGTGCTAATAAAAGTTTGCTTTCGTTTCTGCTGATTTCCTAACTAACCGATATCAATTAAAAATATGATAATCTTCACGCAAGATAATAAACAAATATTAAAATATTAATTCCTAATTTTTTTTAATTTTAAAATATAAATAAAATCTTATCAGTTTAGATCATCATCAATCTAATGGGAAAATTCAGTGGGGAAATTGGTCAAAAAAATGGTTGTGAACCAACAAGCTCAATCATGATGATGGAAATATCATTCCATTTTTTTTTCAAGCAACCTTTAGTGCATTATGCTCCCTACCTTCCCCTCCCCGACACTCATACAACCAAGTTTAGACACATGACACCGCAATATTTGAATGGCATATCACCATTTCACCCCAACTCACTATTTGATGGCCGAAACCTAAAAGAAAAAAATACTTCTACTAGAAATTTACATGTAAAATGACTAACATGATCCAATCTTCAATCTTGGAGTAACTTATCCAACATATAAAAATTACAAATTCCCTCTGCAACACAATGACCTTCCTTCCCTCTAACCATCAGGCATGATCTATGATTTTAAAGTTACATGTTTCCACTTATTTTAAGCACCATTTTCTAAAAATTTTCTGTACGGTAAAAATTCACTTAATTCAAAATATGTCTCCCCTATTAGCAATATATCACTAAAAAAGCATGTACTAAAGCCTCTGATTTTAAATATCCTATATAAATATCTCCATGATCAATTAAAAAAGAAAAAAACTTCATATTGAACTCTTTATTCACCCCTACAAATGAATTTTCAATCTGGCCATCACCAAAATCGCATCTGTTAACAAATGCAAATTGCAATTAACGCCGATCCACATTGTGTAAAGTAATAATTATTGATACACCAACAGAGGTCACAGTGCTCAATTTGTGTATAAATAAAAAAAGAAATATAGGAAAGACGAATGTCAATCCAGTTAATTTGATTTTCAAAAGAATCATGAAATTGCAAACTTATACATAAGAATTTGGGCTTAAGAAAAATACCACAAGTGATACACATGGTGTGGGCGTGTTCATAAGAATGGCATCAATCCCAAGTTCAATGATATACCCAAAGTTAACAGATGTAACACTGACAGCCTGGAATAATTGAAATAAAGACACCAGTGATAAGATAAAATGTGGCTGATAAATATTTCTTTTCTGCGACAACTTTGCAGTGGATGTTATCACAATTAACATCCCCCGTACTAACGAAATATCTTCCTTGAGGAATTTCACATTACCCACAAACAGTTCAAGTACTAGCAATGAAAACTCTGATAAGAGCTCAAGAGCACAATGTTGCAGCCATTCACTAATCATGCTAGAGGATACTAAATCATTGACGATCTAATAAAAAGAAAAAAATTAAAATTAGCTGAAAATTAAAAAATAAAATAAAGAAAAAAAAAGTGATAACAAACAGCTCCCAAGTAAAAGAACAAATAAATAAGGTGCATAAAAGGGATCTAGAATTGCTGAAAAAATCAATGGCATTCAGTTTCTAGGGATTTCTAATCATTATTTGACATTTGCTGTTACTTAAAAAGACTCCATGTTAAAATCAAAAAACCTCCAATAAGAGTGGAATAGCTTTGTGAGGATTGAAACCTGAGAGTTTAGGTTAGTCTCGTATCTTAAAAAAATGTTAAGAAAAAAAAGATATTTATAAAAATTCCAAACGGTTGGCCATCACATCGTTGTAAATTTTTGGGTTAAAAAAAAAATTAATATTATTATATCGCCCAACTTTGGAGCCCAAATACGATGGATAGTGAAACATTTCTCAGCAATTTTATTTTAAATTAGTTTTCAAGTATACAACATAAAATTTGCAATCTAGATCATCAGTTTTAATCTACATAAAATATATGAAGGCATCATATTTAACAACACTTATAATAACAATATAGAATCTAAAATATTTCAATGGATTTGATTTCCACAAGAAAGATGGATAAGGAATTGGTACTCATGCAAGAACTTATCACAAATCATCCAATTCTTTATCAAATCTGATTCCCAACAAAATATTCCTAAAAAGTGGATATCTTAGATTACTCGGTTGTTATAAGGTTATACATTAGCATCAATAGCTTCAGTTTTATATTTGAAGGGAATAATATTAAAATTAATTGTATAGAAAATGAACTTTTTCCAAGCAGAAGGATGGTAGATTGCCCCGACATGCATGTATAAAAATATACTTGACATACATTTCTTGTAAGATGTAAGCTATACAAAATATATCTCTTGAGAAGTATGTCTTGTCTGGTGCAGCTACCAAGTTGCGGTGAGGTTCGAATTGTGGCATTATAAGCATTTGGGGTGCTTGATTTCTGGTGTTCTCTGGAAACGTGGGTCCATGGAACGAAATTTTGCAAACTCCACCTAATTAGTGCGTCCCGCAGCTTCTGATGCGGTCCAATCGAGCCCCAAAGGTTTTCTTCTCACCTCGCTTCTGAGCTCATTTTCCTTTGTCTTCTCCTTTCTTCTTCACTGCAGTCTCACATCCAGCAACCCTCGGCTAGAGCAAGCTATTTAAAGCATAGTTCTAAGTTATTTCGGTTGTCAGGGTTGTTTGGGTTGCCATACTTTGGCTTTACTTTCATCCCTCATTGTTTCGAGTTGTTTTGGCTGTCGGAGTTGTCTGGATTGCCGAAATTTGGCTTTATTTTCATCTATCATTGTCCTGAGTCATTACGATTAAGGATTTGTTTGGGTTTTCGGAGTTGTCTCGGCTGTCACCGTTTAGGTTAGGTTTTTATCATGTTGTCCATGCATAGAAATGTCTTTTTTTGTAATTTGATGATTGTTGTGGAAGTAGTTGTCTTCAAATATGGAAGAAGTTTTTCTTACGTCAATTATGAAATGAGAGACCTAAAGAAAATAAAAACCAAAAAGTGTCAAAATACAAAGTATCAGGTAACTAAAGAGCGGTCCAATTTTGTCTTGCCTCTGCCTCTAATTCTAAGGAAGAAGCCAGCTGAAAAATTAGTGAGATGAGTGCAATTGCGAGTAGTAACCAATGTATCATCCAATAAGTTTCTGAGCTCGAGTCGGCATCCATTCTTCTTCTTCCTCCTGGAATGGATTGTCATTCCTCATCCGAAGATTGACTCGTCTGGTCTCTAAAGTGTGTCAGACATGTGTAGGTTGTTGAACATTAGAAACAACTACATGTTGTACTAGCTAATCTTTTATCGAATCGAGAGAGTGGAAGCACTCTCGTGTGTTCGTTTCTTGGCATGTAAGTGAACCTTCTTCAATAACAATGAGTGGTATAAGCACATTTTGATTTGTACCTGTAGTATGGTGTTCTTCATCAAGAACTGCGGTGTAGGCAAGGGGGATCCACAGGCAAATCAGACACCAAATCCTATCTTGCGGGAACTTCCTCCACAGATTGAGCAGATGTGTCCATAAAAATGGGGTTAGACCTCTCTTTGTTTACTTGAGCTTTAGCTTTCAAATTTGGATAGTCTGTGACATTTATCAAGTGTATGCCCAAACATCTTACAGTGGGTACAATAAATAGGTTTGTGTTCCATGACAATTTGTGAGTTGCGCCCATCCAGAATTCAGTAATATCATGTAAGAAAATATCCCTTTCCACAAGTATTTTGGCCATAGAAAACATGATTAGGTTAAAGGTGGGAATAACTAGCTTCATAGGATCTTCAAGAATGGATCCAATAGAATAAAAAACCTGTGATTGAAGAAATGCAACTTGAGATCACGTAAACTAATTCATACCAAAACAGTAGGAGACTCATGATTTGGGTCAAAATCAAGAAACCGCTTGATTAACTTCATTGACTTGCCTACTATGTTGAGATATTTTTTAGAAAAAATCTGAGCATAGTCTTCAGCTAGGGTTAACTGAATCAACACATGTCTCCCATCCAAAAGTTTTACTTTCCACTTGCCTACAAGTTTGAGATCGTCAACGCTCTTTC